GTCCTCAGTGAAGATTTGAAGGGAAATGCACGTCAGATGGTCCTCTTCTCCAGCCAAACTGATGTACCTAATCATATTCAATAATAACCCAAAATGAAGTCAGAAGAATTAGCCAATGGCTAATTTTCACAGCAATCTATGTTGCTAATGTTTCAATATACTTTATGTTATTTTAAAAAATATAAGCCGGGCTCGGTGGCTCAGCCTGTAATCCCACGCATTTGGGAGGCTGAGGTGAGTGGATTGCCTGAGCCCGCAGGTTCAAGACCTGTCTGGGCAGGCGAGACCTCATCTCTATAATAAAATCAAAAAATTAGCCGGGCATGGTAGCGCATGCCTCTAATTCCGGCTACTTGGAAGGCTGAGGCAGAAGGATCGCCGGAGCCCAGCAGGTCGAGGCTGTGGTGGCCGGGAGCAGCCAGTGCACTCCAGTCTGGGCGACAGAGTGAGACTCCAACTCAAATTATATATATATATATATATATATATATATATATAGATAGAGAGAGAGAGAGAGAGAGAGAGAGAGAGAGAGAGAGAGAGAGAGAGAGAGAGAGAGAGAGAGAGAGAGAGGGTCTCAGGTTGTTTCTGTACTCAGGATAATAAGCACCAGTGTTAATTCACTTAATTTAGAGATTAACAACCCAATGACCACTGCTATCTCTCGCCTGCTCCCGAAAAATCCAGATGTTGCTAACTTACTTTGTTGTCATGTTTGAGCAATTTTCAAAATTGCTAATGAACAATTTTGATATGCCAATCAAACACAATCTGTTAATGGTGTTCTGGCATTAGTCACACAAATTTCCTCTGACTAGTAAAGAACCCCAAACCTATTTATCCATTGTGTTTGCGTTGCCTTCCTTCTTTTAAGGAAAGTGTCTAAGAGGATGTGATTTTTTTTTTTTAAAGTCCAACAAATGCGCGTGCTGGACAAACTATAGAATCATGTGCAGTGAATTGGGCAGATACCAGGAATAACAGGTAATACTTATGGAACACTTGACATCTGTCACGTGTTTTCTATGTAATGTCTCACTGCGGACTCACAATAAGCACATTATTATAAGCATATCTATCCCCATTAAAACAAGAGGATCTGGTGGCTGATGGAGGTTGGACGACTTGTCTACGACCGCATAACCAATTAGTGCCAAGGTTGGGATAGAAACTCAGAGCTGAACTCCAGAGCCTCCCTAAGTTTTGAGGAAACAATAAAGTGGAATTTTCCTTGCAATGACCTTGGGGAGAAGAAACTGCAGGAATACAACTTCAAATGCAGTCAACAATAGCTTATGTATATTAAGAACTCTTTACGAGCTCTAACTTCCAATGGAGACCAGAAAGTAGTTGCCAAGTGATTGCTGTGAATTTAGAATGTCAGATTTTATTTGTGTTCATTTGGTACAAAAAGCTCATATCCAGGAGTAGAGAAAGTACAGAGGTTATTTTCTTTTGACTCTTCCAGTATAATTATTTAGACTCACCTACAATTGTCATGATTTATTTTTTTATTATTTCTGTCTCTTGAAGGTTATGGAGACACTTTTGACGACCTTCACAATGGCATAGATTTAAGTAACACTGCAAATGAGTTTCTCTATATATCAAGTTGACTTATATGAAGGAGTTGATAGCTCAGCAGCAGGTGGGAGAAGAAGGTCCCTCTGGTGGTCCCAGTTATCACTATCATCATGAGCTGCTATTCTATATTTAGTTTATGTGGAAGTACCCATGGGCCTAGTCTTCAATTAATTTTGGACACTTCAAGGACTAGTGTTGCTTTTTTTGTTTTAAGACAAGCACAATTTTTAAAAAATGAAATAATCACTGCATTTGAAGCATCAACAGGAGAGCCTGAAGAGCAAGCTTTGAATAAAGAAAATGCATTCAATCATTCAGTTAATAATATTTATTTGATAATATTTATAGCATTCTTACTCTATGCCAGGCATCCTTCTAGGTTTTTGGGATTTCGGTGTGACTGAAACTGGCAAAAATCTATGTCCTCATGGAACTTACATTTCAGAATATGTTATCATGTTAACTAGACAGAAAGGGTAGGTAGCAGTCAGCTTGCTTAGAATTAAGAATCATATTTAAGAATATGTGTAAGTGGATTGACTGTGGTCTGACCATCACTTTTATAATCATATTTTACGATTAATCTATAAACCCTTGATTTAGCATGTATTGCTGTCTGGAGAGAAGATAGCAAAGACTATAAAAAATATAAAGAACGTGATTGCAACTATAAAATAATTAACAAAATACAGCAAAATGCACTGAGCAAAGGGAATTAGATATTTAAAGAGCCTCCTGAAACGGATACAATTGAGGGTGTGATTTAATTTTTGATAGTATTATCAGTAACAAAATATTTTGTCAATAAAAAATGTGTTAATTAATTAATTAATTAATTTGAGTAATTAAAAATTAATTAAAAGGTCTCACTGTGTCACCCAGGCTGGAGTGCAGTGGTACCATGATGGCTCACCACAGCCTCAACCGGCTGGGCTGAGCTGATCCTTCCATCTCAGTCTCTGGGGTAGCTGGAACTACAGGCATATGACAGCACACCTGTCTAATTTTTAAAATTTTTTTGTAGAGATGAGGTTTCACAGTGTTGCCAGGCTAATAATTTTTTTGTAGAGATGAAATCTCACTACGTTGCCAGGCTAATATTTTTTTTTAAAAATAAGAAACTATGAACTCCAAAGAGAACTGAGGACTACAGTTGAATGTAGTATAGTATTTTGATACATAGAACTTTCTACATTTATGGTTTTCTAGCTACAAACGGTGTGATTTCATTAATACAACAGACTGATTCTTCACCACATTTTAACTTTTGATCCTAGAAATATCGTTTCTAGGATACCGTATCAGTACCTGATTCCAATAGGACCCTGACACAAATTTAGCTTTGGAATTTCCAGGAAACAAATGAACATAACGTAAACCCAATTTAAATATTTAATAATATAAATGCAAATGTAAGTGAACTTGAGGGAGGGAAAAAAGGACACATATCAAGTACATAACGATTTCTGTGGAAAATGCACTGATAATGAGAATCAGTCTCACTCCTTGATCTGCTCTTCTGCTCCCAAGAGAGACGGAGAGGCAGCTAAACTCATTCACGGCATGGAGATGAGTTGCAAAAGCGGGCCATACCGCATGTGTTTCGAACACTGCTCAGCTACTTCCACATTCTGTGCACACAGTGTGGCCCCCGCCCAATTCCCTCTCTAGTTCATTCTTTTGTATTATTCGTCTCATCTCTCTCTTTTCCACTACTGAGCACCTTTCAGAGGGAAGGGGCCATGCCTATTTCATTTCATATTATTCCTTAGTACCTAGCCTGGTGCTAGATGCTTAGTAAATGTGTGTTTAATAATGAATAAGTTAAATCAGATCTGATCTTTTTTTAATGAGCCCATATGCTCATCTGCAATGAGGCTGGCAGCAAATGGCTTCCTTCCAGTCCCACTGAACTGTGTCACTTTCCTCTTGGCATTTGATACTGTGAATGACCCACTGTTTCTTAAATCATTTTCCTCCCAGGTGTCTGGGATATGCACTCTGACGAGGCCACTATTTCCTCACACTCATGAGAATATAACAATGTCAAACCTCATTTCTCTGAACTCCTGTTTTCGCTAGAATCATCATCTCACAGCATTCCTGATTGCTTGTGTTTGTCACGTTTGGTTCGACTTGCGTCTTGAGTGGGAGGGGAGCCTTACATTTGACATGGCTTTGTATTTCAAATGTTGCCTACCACTATGCTGGCACCTCACAGAAACTCAGCAAGCAGGGATCTTCTGCTCGCCAGTTACAATGGCTGCACGAGAGCTTTGCAAGGAAGGAGGATGTGCAAATGGGCAAAAAGAGAGTTGAGATGGCTGGATCCAGTGTGGGGGCTTAGGTCACAGTCAGCAGAAACGATCTACTACAGAGTGGTGTCATTAAAACGTTCTCTGGCTGAATCCTCAGGGCCCTGTGCTCAGACACTGTGGCATGGTTCCTTTAACCTGAGAGAGCCAGCCTTGCTTGAGGTGGCTGAGTTGGACCTGGATTAAGGAGGGCTGAGGGGAGTGTGGTCTTTTTTGGCTAGGGGAGAGGCTGAATGGCATAGAACCCCCAGGTTGTGAAGTGGAGAATGTGGTGGGAAGAAACAGTTCCACTGGGTGTTGACCATGATATGCCTAGGTACCCAGCAAAAGTAGAGCGTGTGGCAAGGACTAGGAGTCTCACCAGTGGGGCTTGACATGAAGATAGTTATCTTCTCAACTGTACCCATAAGATGGATACGGTTTAGGGCAGGGAGAATCACATTGCGTTTCAAACTCATCCTCATCATCGTCTCAGCTCACTTCTCTCCTGCCATCATTGGTCTTATAGGCAGTCTGGGCAAATTGCCAGTTTAGCCATTTTATCTGTGCCCCCACCCTGGAATAATAGA